GGTTGGAAGGTTTGGAAGTCCACTTGCCCCAGGTCCCCTTTTATACCCTGCTAAGGGCGCTGTCATCAGGAGCTGTGCTCTTCCTTGTCCTTGTTTGTCCTAATTAACAGGTGATTATGAAATTAGCCAGGTTTGTTTTCCTGGCTCCCCTTTTTAAGATGGATGGAAAACGTTGCTTCTTTTTCCTGGTGGGTTAGCATTCCTCACTTCAGCTCTTCCTGGATCATCTCTTATGTGTCTTTCTTGCTTCATCTTCCTTAAAGAAAGCTGTCACATGACTTATGCATTTATATCATGTATGTGTGTTTCATGTTGCATAGCATAGCATGTCTCTTCTTGGGTGATAAAGATTCTAATAACCCACATTCCTTTTGGTTAGTTGGGGAGGTGGTATACAGCTGCATTTTAGTGTGATGTCTCATTCGTTGTGGGTCAGGTGGGCTGAGAAGTGTTGAATGTGAATCAGGGCATTGCTGGCATGAGAATAAGATTCTTAGGGTATTTCCTCTCCCCACTGTGAATCAGGGACCGTTTTCTGGACTTTCTGATGGAAACCATTAGCATGAGATCCCTCTTCACAAGGTTTTAAGTGCACTATAACGTGCTGTTGTTATAAACATGATATTATACATCACATCTCTAAAACGTGTCTGTGTGTGTTTTTTGTATAACTAGAATGTTCTGTCCATTGAACAACTAACTACCCATTTCTCATTACTCTCATCCCTGGAAAACACCATTTTATTTTCTTCTATGAAAACTTTTGACTCTTATGATATCTCATGTAAGTGGATTCTTATAGTTTTTATCTTTCTGTGACTGACTTATTTCACTTAGCATAATGTCTTCCAGGTCCATCCATGCTATCAGAAATAGCAGGATATCTTTTTTGTTGTTGTCCTTTTTTGTTAATCCTCACCCCAGGATATTTTCCCATTGATTTTAGGCAGAGAGAGGGAAAGACAGAAAGAAACATCGATGTGAAAGAAATACATTGGTTGGTTACCTCCTGTATGACCCCGACCAGGGCTGGACTGGGGAGGAGTCTGCATGAACCCGAATCGAACCCAGAACTCTTTGGTCCACAGGCTTATACTCTCACCTCTGAGCCAAGCCGGCTAAGGCTGGCAGGATTTCCCTTTGAAAGGTTGAATGACAGACACTTTTATTACAATGATGACATTCTGAGAATAATGTCAGTATTGGTTGGCAGTAGATGTGGATGTTCAGCCTGTGAAACACGTTTGTCTTTTTCATTACAAACTGCTTCCATCTCTCTTATAGATTTGCAGTGGATATACATAGACCAGCACTTCTCAGTCTCTTCTACCTGATACCACGAGTAACGTGGCTCGTCCTGATAATGGTACATCTGGGGAAGAGGCTGAGAGGGGATACAACGTTAAATCAATTCTCCCCCCCCTCTCCCCGCAAATGTAAATATAGTCAGAGCTCCCCAACTCACCTGCCATGTGCTTTGATAACTACTCATCTAGGTCTCAGAAAGGCTCTGAAATTTCATCCTGTGGGATTTAGTGTCTTGTGCACTGATGTCTACAAATTTTCACATCATGATTTTATCTTTCAGCATATTCAACCTCCCTTACCTTAAGGCTTCCAAATATTTTGATGAAAAGATTCTCATTTTATTTCTCATTTCCATATTTTACGAGAAAATTCTCAACCAAGTTGAGATGTCCGTGACTCTGTTCTCAAGATGATTAACTCAAGATAGGGATGGCCACCCAGAAACTATCCTGAGGTTGAAACTGATGCCTATTTGGCAGAACATAATATAAAAACCGATTTTATAGTGACTGTCCTTTTTTCCCAGGTTTCCTTGACTCTAGAGGGGAAATGTATATAAAGAGCGAACTGCCAAAGCCCCTCATTCTGAGAAACTCTAGTCGGCTCATCGAATGGTTGCTGTATGTGAGGGATTGACATCCCCTGCTTACTGTAAAGGGCTGATATCAGGGAAGTGGGTGTCTCAGAGAGAATCAAATTCGACTCACCATGGTGAGTAAGACTATGGAATGACTGCCTCTGTAGACAGTCAGTGGAGGGCTTGAATTGTAAACTGGTGTTACAGAGAAGGAATAAAAATCCAGATAGAGGAGATCAGATGAAATGGGATTGAAGATCCCTTTCTATTTTAGGCAACACAAACATCTTATAAACCAAACTCCTTATGTTGCTTTTAAAATTCCTTGCCAGTTGCCACTTCTGCCCTGGCTCAAATTTCCAGGTGGACACAACCTGGATGATGATGATGTGGGCTCCTGACTGGACCTCTGCTGGGAGGTGTGGCTGGTGTGATGAGCCCACACACAGCATTTTATGGGAAGGTTCTGAGCCTCTTCTTCTGTCACAGAAAGATGAGGGAACAAACGCAGATTCAAGTTGTTGTGGGGTGAAGGCTATAGGGAGCCCTAATTATGGAATCTGGAGAAAATGCCAAGATTTCTAAATGACCTGGAATGTGGGAAAAAGAATGACCCAGGAATCCTTATGACAGACCTACTGATGACTCAGCTGCGGTCACATTTATTTATATTAATTGGCTATATTTTTTCCTTCATGGTGTGTGTGTGTGTGGCTTTGTTGTTCTTATTGCTTAGGATAAGCTTTAACACTATGTTTGAAAATCCCTCCTGATTTCTTTTAGAACTTTAACAGTTTTGTTTTTATAATGAGTTTTTCACTCTATTGAAGTTTGTTTTGGTTTAATGAATTTAGTATCTCTGATTTTTTTCCTTCTTTCTTTATCCAATTAACTAGCCAACCTATACCATTTAAAAAATAATTCTTCCCTTACAGGGTGATTTTAAACTGCAACCTTTTTTTGTACTTAATTCTCTAGGACTCTATTCAATCCAATTTTTATTTAAGAAATAAAGAGGTTCTTGCAGATTTGATATAAAAATCTGAAAATTCTAGTCTATTGCCTTGAAGTCAGAAACATATATGTCTTTTTAAAAAAATTATGTTGTGTTAAATATAAGAGCACAACATAAAGATATACCCCTTAGAAAATTTTATGTATACAAAACAGTATTGCCAGCCATAAGCAAAACTCATAGATCAGGGAAGAATTGAAGAATTTTGCTACTTCAGTGGCTTTTTGGGTCTCTCTCCCTCTCCCTCTCTCCCTCCCTTTTAGTACTAATATTTCAAATATAACATTTCTCATGTACATTTTCCCACTTATGCCATCTTCTAAGTATTTTATTCACATTATTCATATTGATGTGAATTTGTTATTTCAATTAATGATTTTCAAACCTTTTAAAAAATGTTTTCTTATCTGGAAGCTCACTGTATTGGTATAAACCAGGGAAAATGGAGCAACTCCAGGTGGAGGGAGATGGCACAGTCCACAGGCTAGCAGCATATGAGACAATGTTTTTCTGATACTTTTTAATAAAGACTGCCTACATAAGAATACAAACATTATGCTTTCATTCACTCCTCTTCTTGCTTTGTCTTGTCTTATGTGTGTGATCTGGACATTCCCCTCAATTTTCAGACTTGACACATTTTATTTTTAGAAATAAATCCTTATATATTATCTTCTCCAATAGAATAGAATCCTCTTTTTCTCCAATATTACCAACATACTCTACTTGATATATATTTTTCTATTAAATCCAAGACTTCATTGTGAATTACCTGAGGGATGGGAATTGGGTCTCATTCAGCTTATAAGCTTCCCGGAGCCCAATAGCACAAGGATCTTGCTAAATGGTTCATAATTCAGTGAGTAAAAAAGATATTCTTGTCTTCTCTCAATAAACTTGCTGGCAGACAATGTGGGCAGTCTGGTTGGAGAAAGACTAATTATTTGGCGTTTTCTTTGATACTAGTGGCTCGGTGCACCAATTCGTGCACATTGAAAGGAAATTAATTAGAAGAAATATTTTTAATATCATATTTGCCCTTTCTCTATAATAGAAGTGTCAACCAAATTCATGAACAACAATGACAGATTGAAACATGCATGCAATTGGCACCAGCGAGAGCTTTATATGTATCTCGTATGTGCAAGTCAATTAGCCTTTTATATATATAAAATAAACTTGCTTAATTAGACCTGCTTTCTGAGGTAGCTACACTTTTTCTGTAGTGAAGCACTCCAACTTCTCTTTCAGGTAATTGTGAGCAACACAGCAGTAAATGTCAACACAAAGCAAATTAGTATTGTAGATCATGCAGTGAGAACAAAGGGTAAACTATTTAACTGCAGCAGTGTTTAATTATATTCTGTGCAGTGAGAAAACCTGAAGTCATTTTCAAGGTCTCCTATTTCTTACTTCTTTTCAGTCGGGTCAAGTTTCTAAGCTTTCTAAATCTCTGTTTTCTGGCTAATGAAAGAAAAGAGGATTCCCCTAAGTCTCCTATCTACCTATTCCAGGACTTCTTGGAGGATCAAATGAGATGAGGATTTACGGACATTTGGTTAAAGTCTGAAATGTTTGTACCTGGCTATAAAGCAAGTTGTTTTCATGGGCTGAAGAAACTGCAAGGAAGCTACTTGTTGCTAGGGAGAGGAAGCTGGGCATTGTTATGTAACGTCACTACCTGGCTCCCACAGCCATCATTTCTGGGCTGGGCTGGGCTGGGCTGTTGGGTGCAATAGTGCTATGGGGTTTCGGCAGCATCAGCTGCAATTTGGTGGGATGTTGTTTTGGGGTGGTGGTGCCGCCTGTGTCCCACTTAGGGGAAGACAAGTGTTGCTTTGTGGGCACCAGGTCTACGGTGCTGTTTATTGTTAAATGGCCTGTTGCAAGGGAGAGGGAGCTGGGCGTTTTATGTGATATCATTACCTGAATGGATATTTAACATGTTAGCCTTTTATATATATAGATAGGCTTTGATGGCTATATGCAAAATCAGTTTCTCTGTGCCCATAACAAATATCCAAACTCATCTCCAATTCATAATCAAAACTAAAATATAATTAAAAGCCACAAATGTTTTGGTACCAGGAAAACAAGTATTTATTGAGACATGATTACTCTACTGCACACATTCAGTGTGAAGGTGAAATCTTCCCCATGAAGTAGTAGACATTTGGTCATTTGACTGAACGTCAGCTTGGAGGTTTTGTGTGGTATTTAGTTTAAGTTGTTACTTTTTAAATAGTTGCTTGGTGGCAGGAGTTAATAAACATAGCAACAGATTAGAACAGGGTGGGGTCCTATGGATAAAGGGAATGAGAACAAGCTTGATGCACTGATAGTAGACTCAGGGCTGGGGGTGAAAAATGTAGTTCAACAACAGGAGGATCCACAACAGACAGGGCGACAGCAGGTGGGACGGCAGCAAGTGGTCTTGCAGCAGGTGGTCTGGCAGCAGGTAGGGCAGCAGCAGCTGGAGCCACAGCAAGAGGGGCGGCAGCAGCTGGAGCCACAGCAGCTGGAGCCACAGCAGGGGCGGCAGCAGCTAGACACACAGCAGGGGCGGCAGCAGCTGGAGCCACAGCAGGGGCGGCAGCCGCTGGAGCCACAGCAGGGGCGGCAGCAGCTGGAGCTACAGCAGGTGGGGCGGCAGCAGCTAGTGATGCAGCAGGTAGGCCTGCAGCAGCTGGAGCCACAGCAGCTGGAGCCACAGCAGGGGCGGCAGCAGCTAGACACACAGCAGGGGCGGCAGCAGCTGGAGCCGCAGCAGGTGGGGCGGCAGCAGCTAGTGATGCAGCAGGTAGGCCTGCAGCAGCTGGAGCCACAGCAGGAGCCACAGCAGGGGCGGCAGCAGCTAGAACCACAGCAGGTGGGGCGACAGCAGCTAGTGGTGCAGCAGGTAGGCCTGCAGCAGCTGGAGCCACAGCAGGAGCCACAGCAGGTGGGGCGGCAGCAGGTGGTCTGGCAGCAGCTGGGGCGGCAGCAGGTCTCCTGGCAGCAGCCTTGGCCACAGCCCTGGTCAGAGCAGACGGAGCTACAGGAGTTGACCATGGTGTCGGAGGGTGGAGGTTCTGGGTGAGTTTCTAGGAGAGTGAGTTTCCTGAATCTCTGCTCGGGCCCTCTTTTATACCCTGTTGAGGGCAATTTTTTCCTTGTTATTGTTTATCTTAATAGGTAAACAGTATTCAATCAGATAATTATAATCATTTTTTTCTTGCAAAATTAGATAGAATGCATTCTTCCTTTCTATGATGTATTTCACTCTAATCTTTTCTTCAAGTCAACACTTGTGTTTCTTCCTTGTGTGTATCATCTAATTTCAGGACTGCAGCTCTCTGTCCAATTGGCTGGAACGGGACTGGCTGTTTGTTGTTAAGTGCCCATATGTTTCTCATTTCCGTGACTCAGCCTAGGCCCAAACTGTGAGTCGCGAGTTTAGGACACAGACAAATGGGAATGGAATAATTCTCAGAATGATATATTGAGGGATCCTGGAGAGGAGTAGGAGACCTCCCCCCAACCCCCACCCCCTCACCATGAATGATTCTTGAGCAGTGAGATAAGGTATGGCTCTAGATACAGGCTGGTGGTTAGTGAGCTGGGAAAGGAATTCCAAGTAATGCATTTTGGCATATTTCCTCATGTTGTTACAGCTTCTTATTGGCAGTATCACTCTGTTTAGCACAAGACATTATCATATCTCTTCTTTATGAAATAACCAAATGACACATATGCATTCTATCTAATTTTGAAAGAAAAAATGATTATAATTATCTAATTGAATTTGATATCACTTTATAATACTGATGTGAAATGATGTAGGTATTCTAAAAAACAGTTTGTCAGGTCCTTTAGAAACAGAACATGCAATTACCATATAACCTGGAAATTGCAATCATGGACATTTCTACCAGAGAAGAAGACTTTATTCATACAGTGAATGTTTGTACTAATGCTGTTCATAACAGCCAAAGAATGGATACTACCCAAATACCCTTCAATGAATGAGTGATTAAACTGTGGTATACTCATACCACTGAATACTACTCAGCAACAAGAGAGAATAAACTATTAATACTCAACAACCTGGATGACTCAATAGAAAATTATGTTGAGTGAAAAATGCCATTGCTCATACGCTGGACCTGCGAACATGGGGTTTCTCCACCTTTGCAGCCAAGTCAGGCCACCCCAGCAGCAGAGGGGCCAGAAATCCTTAGCCACAGCTTAATTCAGAGCACAGGAGGCTGTATCAGGCGCCACATCGCTGCCAGTGAAACAAAGAGGCTCTTTCTTTTTAAAAGTTATCCAAATATGGAAATTTCTAAGTTATCAAACTATGATGCACCTTGTTTTGCTTCGCTCCATTGATACACATGATGGAGTCATTGTTGTCCCTTTTGTCCCTCCATTTACACTCCTGGGCATTTGTAATTTTAAACTGCAATTTAGAGCAAACTCTTGGAGTTGTCAGGCGAACTGCTTTTTCTTTACCAGTAAATGTAAATATAGTGTCCCCAGAACACACTTGCTGTCTGGCCAGCCAACAAATCTGGAGCCCAGCGTGGAAAAGATCATGCCAGTTATAGTTGAGCTCCATCCCTGCTGCAGAATATACATGCCCATGTGGACTTGCTTGCTATTAAGAGAATAATCAGTCATTGAGTTTTGTGTGACATAGATAAAAAGCCTTATTAAAATATTCTTTTTAATTAAAAATGTGTTAAAATGTAGTTTGAATTTATCATCTTTGTTTTATCAACAACATGCTCTGTCTGCAGAGATGGATTTCAATAAAAGTAGCATCAAGGGAGAAAAGTCAGTGACAATGGCTCTGGCCTCTTCTCCAAACCAGCATGAACTAGCATATGACCAGAGGATGTGCTCCTTCTTTAAAAAAAGGATGATTCATAGTTAATAATTCTTTTGATGTTGACTATCTCTCCCATTTCTGGAAATGAGTTCTTATAGATTATCTTTTAATTAGGAGGACAATTCTATCATTTTATTTTCAGATCATTCATAATTCTTAGGGAACTCTTCTTCCTTGGTCAGTTGTCCATGGTCATGAAGAAATGTCATAAATAATAACCAGGAAACTTCGCTTCATTGGTCCCAAATTTGGGAACAAGTGTATAAAAGGTCTAGGAGGGCAGAAGAGTTCATATCCTAAGAATTATTTTCTGCTCAGAAGCCCACCTTTTACACCTGACACCATGACCTGCTGTTCCCCTTGCTGCCAGTCTACCTGCTGCAGGACCACATGTTGTGGATCCAGCTGCTGCCAGCCTTGCTGCCGCCCCTGCTGTGTGTCCAGCTGCTGCCAGCCTTGCTGCCGCCCATGCTGTGGGTCTAGCTGCTGCCAGCCTTGCTGCCGCCCCTGCTGTGGGTCCAGCTGCTGCTGCCGCCCCTGCTGTGTGTCCAGCTGCTGCCAGCCTTGCTGCCGCCCATGCTGTGGGTCTAGCTGCTGCCAGCCTTGCTGCCGCCCCTGCTGTGGGTCCAGCTGCTGCCAGCCTTGCTGCCGCCCATGCTGTGGGTCTAGCTGCTGCTGTCAGCCTTGCTGCCGCCCCTGCTGTGGGTCTAGCTGTTGCTGCCGCCCCTGCTGTGTGTCCAGCTGCTGCCAGCCTTGCTGCCGCCCCTGCTGTGGGTCTAGCTGTTGCTGCCGCCCCTGCTGTGTGTCCAGCTGCTGCCAGCCTTGCTGCCGCCCATGCTGTGGGTCTAGCTGCTGCTGCCAGCCTTGCTGCCGCCCATGCTGTGGGTCCAGCTGCTGCTGCTGCCCCTGCTGTGTGTCCAGCTGCTGCCAGCCTTGCTGCCGCCCATGCTGTGGGTCTAGCTGTTGCTGCCGCCCCTGCTGTGTGTCTAGCTGCTGCCAGCCTTGCTGCCGCCCCTGCTGTGGGTCTAGCTGTTGCTGCCGCCCCTGCTGTGTGTCCAGCTGCTGCCAGCCTTGCTGCCGCCCCTGCTGTGGGTCTAGCTGTTGCTGCCGCCCCTGCTGTGTGTCCAGCTGCTGCCAGCCTTGCTGCCGCCCATGCTGTGGGTCCAGCTGCTGCTGCCGCCCCTGCTGTGTGTCCAGCTGCTGCCAGCCTTGCTGCCGCCCCTGCTGTGGGTCTAGCTGCTGCTGCCGCCCCTGCTGTGTGTCCAGCTGCTGCCAGCCTTGCTGCCGCCCCTGCTGTGGGTCTAGCTGCTGCTGCCGCCCCTGCTGTGTGTCCAGCTGCTGCCAGCCTTGCTGCCGCCCATGCTGTGGGTCTAGCTGTTGCTGCCGCCCCTGCTGTGTGTCCAGCTGCTGCCAGCCTTGCTGCCGCCCCTGCTGTGGGTCTAGCTGTTGCTGCCGCCCCTGCTGTGTGTCCAGCTGCTGCCAGCCTTGCTGCCGCCCATGCTGTGGGTCCAGCTGCTGCTGCCAGCCTTGCTGCCGCCCATGCTGTGGGTCCAGCTGCTGCTGCCGCCCCTGCTGTGTGTCCAGCTGCTGCCAGCCTTGCTGCCGCCCCTGCTGTGGGTCTAGCTGCTGCTGCCGCCCCTGCTGTGTGTCCAGCTGCTGTCAGCCTTGCTGCCGCCCGTGCTGTGTGTCTAGCTGCTGCCAGCCTTGCTGCTGCTGATCCACTTGCCCACCAGAGACAAGACATATTTCTTTGACCATTTTGCCAAAGTTTCTGATCCTGCAAGAAACTGGCTCCCCAAGCTTTGCTGAGAAACAACATGCTGACGCAACTTCGTTCATCTTTCTATAATTCTTGAGAATCCACTGAGGCGATGCAGTCTACTTCCCTTCGATTCTGTTCTTCATTTCCTCTTGATCAATGTATAGATACTGGTCAGCTCCATCTGATTTCAACATGAATTAATGGTCTCAGGCCTGATGAAAGTCGTCCTTCCCTCTTGCCTCTATGGAACTTAAACAAATTATTATGACTGTATATTTAGCTCTGCACAATGATCAATATTGATCATCTTTTTAGACCTATTCATTGTATTTAATAATTTATGCCAGGCTACTAAACTCTTCAATATCAATTTGAACACTCTTCTTGACTGTTCTTTCCTAATAAAAATCTATACTATCTTGCATCATATGTTTGTATTTTGTTTATTTGTTTATAATACTGCCTTTATGGAGCCTTACTTTTGAGTTGCAGCTTATATGTTTTATCTCATTCAAGTCTCACAATGGCCTTACAAGATAGGCAGAGCAAAAATTATCATCCCATTATCATTCTCAGTGAACAGAAAATGGTTTGACACGTGGCTTATAATTGACATAATAGGTCCTACGTACACAGGGTCTTTTGATTCCAGGTCCAGGGCACTTTTCTTTACATTTTTCTGCAGGTAGAACAAACTGGTGACTGGGCACAGGGGAGGTATGTACATTGAGTTGCTTTTTTAACAATGGGGATAGTCACACCTTTCATATACAGAATACCTTTCTGTCTACAGAGCTCTTTTCAAATATTCTCTCTACTTCTCTGATCAATAGAGGCTGCTTTAAGAATTTTATCAGTGAAGGCAGCTCTGACAGCCTCCTTGAGTTCTGATCTGTAAGTGGCACAATCTGTCATCAGAAAGTAACGTGAGTGTGGTTGGTATCCCGGCCCTTCCCCTTGCCGAGAGGAACTTGTTCTTGAGTGTCATAGAATAGGCATTGGTGATATTTTATTTATCTCAACAGAAATTTGGATTAACACTCACACTTGCAAAGCACACAAGCTCAGGCCATACTTTCCAGGCTTCCAAACTTTGAGGCAATTTGATCTCCTGACCCGGAAGTTGTTAAAGGAAGATACATTTTTAGAGTCCTGAGATTTGAGGTAACTATGCAATGGGCACATAAACCTTTGATCCAGTCATTATCTCTAGGCCATAAAAGGAAACAGTACAGCTTACCATGTTCTCTTGAGATAAAGACTCAGAATTTTCAGGAAAAAGAAAGAAAAAAAGTAGGAAGAATGAAGGATGTATTATTCAAAGTCAAGATGGGCAGAGGAAACCTGGATTGTTGGATGAAAAACTGAATAATAAAGAGAATAGATGTATTAGCCATTAAGGGTTAATATAGCTCTGGGAGAAAAATAAGTTTTTATTGTGGTCACCTCTTAAGAGATGCAGAGATACTTAGGGTCATGTCACTGGATATAACGGAAAGTGTGATCTTTCTAGAGGATGTGTCCAACATAGAAAATAAGTGGGAAGAATTACTAACATTTATTGAAGTCCTACTCTGTGCTGAGTATTGAGCTAGATGTTTGCTCTACATCATCTCTTATTCTCATAGAACCCTGGAAAGTGGATATTACTGCCTCCGTGGAAGAGCTGAGGAAATCAGTGTTGAGGGAAGCAAAATAACTAGCATGAAATTGTATAAACTGCAAAACACCATCTGACTTAAATTAAATCTCTTGTGAGGCCACTGGGGAAATGTTAATGATATAGTCCAATGGGGGGGGGGGGGATTGATTTTTTTAAAAAGGTATCAAATTAATATGCAGAGAAAGTGTGCTCTTTTGTTGAAACCGGTTTGGCTCAGTGGATAGAGTGTCGGTCTGTGGACTGGAGGGTCCTGGGTTCGATTCCGATCAAGGACATGTACATTGGTTGCGGGCACATCCCCAGTGGGGGGTGTGCAAGAGGCAGCTGGTTGATGTTTCTTTCTCATTGATGTTTCTAGCTCTCTATCCCTCTCCCTTCCTCTCTGTAAAAAATCAATAAAATATATTTTAAAAAAAAGAAAGTGTGCTCTTTTGAACAGATGATGCTGAAACAGCTACTAGTAAATATCCATGTGCAAAAACAAACAAACAAACATACAAACAAACAAAAAAGACACCCAATTGGGCCCATATTTGATGTTATTCAAAACCAACTCAAATTGGGTTATGCATCTAAATGTAAAGCCTGAAACTGTAGAACTTCTAGAGAGAAACAGGAAAAAGTTCTGCAGTCCTTCACCCGATTACAGAGCCACTCAGTGTGAGCCAGTTTTGTAAAGAGGCTGCTAGTTTGCATCATCGCTTGTCTGTACTAAGTTCCCTCTAGAACTGTGCAGCTATTCATCTCAAATTCTATCTTTAATTGTAAACTCTCTGTTGTGGAAAAGAATATCATAGATCTTGGTTATGAGAATTAGAATCATATGGAAGAGTCCTCAAATTCCTGTTCTGCTGCACCCTAGCTGTGTGTTGGGGTGGGGTGGGGGGCATGCAGGATATGTTTATTCATACTCATGGGAATATTTCTCATATATAATTTCATCTTCCTTTTGTCTATTGCTTTCTTTTTCCCTTTAAATAGTATGTCCATCCATGGATTAATCTGGAATTTTTTCTTTCTCTTTTCCGGCCTCCTTTACTATATTAGCTGGACTGTAGGCAGATACAGTCTTTAAGATATCATCATCCTTACATTTCCAAGGGGTATCACAAAAACATATTTTATTCCTAATCTTTAATAAATAGTAAAGAATAGTTTATTTGCCATTTTTTCTCAGTAACTAGGATTTGCCTTTTTTGTTTATGCCTATATCCCTAACTTAACATAAACTTTATTTCAAATTTACAAATTAAACCTCCAGACCAAGGAACTAGCAAGAAGCTATAGCACATCAGGAGGTTTAGTGCTGACCTAAATGACTAAAGCAAGATTGCCTTACAACTCCATTTATCCCGGCAGAGACCTAATGGAATATGATATATAATCATGATATTCTTTAAATTTTATCAGTTAGTATCCCCACCAGCAGCTATTATACCCCATATAGAATTTTTACTAAAATAGGTCAACAATTTCTGGTCTGACAAGGCAGTGGAAAGGGAAAACACTCCCGGTGAGAAGAACTGTGAGCAGCAGTACATCTAGTTGTAAATTTTGCTTAACAACAAAGTGGACAAGGAAATGACGTTCATGGGCTATAAGGAAGCACGGACGATTGGTCTGAGACCTGGAAGGAGCAAGACAGAAAGACTGGAGATCCAGAGATTTGAAGAATCATGTAGCTATAACCATGTGTGTGGACAGAAAGTGTTCCCTCTTTGTGTCCCACATCAGTGCCCACAAGAGTATCCACCACTTGGGAGGCACTGGATAACCAGGAGTTGGGGATAATTCATCCCGTCTCCCTCCTCAGGTGCCCCAGTGCTTCCAATGTAGACCACAAACAAAGGAACTGTGGTGGCAGGGACCCAGGCTTTGCGTGGAACCAGCCACATGCACCCTCGCCCACCATAGCTGCCTCTACCGAAGGTGCTACTTGTCAGAGCAGGGACTGATGTCGAGCCCCTAATATGGTAACATCCCTCATAAAAACTCACTGAAGCAAGTTGGTTTAAAGTTGGGGATCATAATGTAGGGAGTATTTTTTGTAGAGAATTACTTAATGCCTTTTTGCTCTAAAACAGGGATGCGGGAGAAAGAGGCCACACAAGAAATATGTGATGCCAAGAATAAGTCCTGATAAGGGAGCCTATCTTAAGAGGACACAATGGATGATCAAAATTGCTCGATGCAGAGGAATTCATGCGGGGGGTGACCAGAGCCCGAGAGAAGGAAAGTTACCCTGCATTCATGAGAGCTCTCCAACGCCAACTGAAACTAACCGCCATCCTCACTGAAACATCCACTGCTCTATGAGCTGTGGGACCCTGACTGGGGAAGGACTCTGTAGACCCAGAGGTGCTGCATAGATGGAAGATGATTTCATCCATTGTTAAAGGAGTAACTCAAGTGCACAGGCTGCTGGTGGGCATCCCAGGTTCATCTCGACGTTTCTCGATACGGGAATGCAAGTGCCCTTGAGAGGAGCAGGAGGCCCAGTCTTCAGTCTCCTTAGTCCATTTTTAGCTGCATTATCCAGTGAAATGTTCTCATCAGCAAGCTGAAAATATAACTTGTGAGAGGCTGTTGTGAAGCTCAAAACGGAAATGCATGCGATATGTGATACGTGCATAAGTCCCTATATGAGGAATGCTGTGTAATAAAACCAAATGCAACTGGTGATGCGTAAGGGTACAGGATTTATTAAGAAATATAGGATGGAATTCTTGCATCTACAGAGACAATTCAAAGTGATCATGGAAATAAAACAGCAGGATATAAGAACCATGAGTACACTGAGAAAGAAACATGATTATGAAGACCAGCAGCAGAAATCCACGAAGAAGTAATGAGAGTTTGATTTCCTAAATTACTCGTAGGTCACACTCCATAGTGAGGATGCACGAAGCTGGCACATGGTCCACAAGACGTAAGAAAAGAATCGGGGATGTCCACTGCACCCTGTCGGGGGGATTCATACACTTGCTAACAGGCAAATGAGTCACAAAAATGTTGGTGACCACATGCTGGCTTTCAGCAACATTTGTAAGGGAATTTATTTCCAAAATTGCAAGTCAGTTCACAGTAGGTGTTGTGTGCAGGTGGTGACTCTTAAGTCAGGGCAATCAGCAGCAAGAAGGCTGGCAGCAGCTGGACACACAGCATGGGCGGCAGCAGAAGCTGGGCCGGCAGCAGGTGGTCCTACAGCAGGTGGTCTGACACCAGGTTGGGCAGCAGCAAGGCTGGCAGCAGCAGCTAGACCCACAGCAGGGGCGGCAGCAAGGTTGGCAACAGCTAGACCCACAGCATGGGCGGCAGCAAGGCTGGCAGCAGCTGGACACACAGCAGGGGCGGCAGCAAGGCTGACAGCAGCTGGATACACAGCAGGGGCGGCAGCAGCAGCTGGGCCGGCAACAGCTGGATCCACAGCAGCTGGATTGGCAGCAAGGGGAGCAGCACATGGTGTCAAGTGTAGAAGGTGAGTTTGTGTTCAGAGGTGAGTTTCTCAGATTCTGAGGACTTCTTCCGTTCTGGGTTTTTTATACACTGGGCACCCAATGTTGGGACCAATCAGTAAGACTTTCCTTGTTTTTGTTTGTCATTTGTTAATCACAGAGAAATTGTCAAGGAGGAAGCTGTTCCCTATATGATATGAATGTTTAGAAAATAGGTATTTAATGTATTTCCTAATTGAGAATAACTCACAGAAACTTTTTTAGATAAAAGGAAGGCATTCCCATCATCAGGATGGTTCCTGCTTTGGTCATATTGTGGTCATATGATAGCAACCCTCATGGCTTCATGCGGGTCAGTACATGAGTATTGGGTATTTGGCTGTACTTACATCCAGAAGTATCCCTGTGTAAGGGACATGATGCTGATATGTTCATGGTTTAAATTGACATTATGCCTGAGTCCAAGTCTGTTTGCCCACCAAAGCTTGATTCAAGACTGTGACAGGAATCTCTCTGGAGCCACCACCTCACCTGTGCATCCAGGTTGGGTCACAGACACTTGTGTAGAGGATGTTTGGCATAATCTCCTCCATATGCACAGCAGAACCAAAGCACGTTGGGTGGAAGCAGAAGCTGGGACTGAGAGAGCATCAATCATTTCACTTCCTACATGACCAGTGGTCCTAATTGCCCAGGACTCAGAAGTTTCCTAGGATGCAGGACTCCCCCAAAGGTGTGATTGGGGCAGTTTGGGTAAACCAGGATGAGTTGGTGACTCCAGTTCTAACCTTGTTAACCAGCAGATTCAGTGACCTCATGTCACTGACTACACATGCACTGTTTTCTTTTTCTTTCCTTCTCATTTTCTTTAATCCCTACCTCCCTTCCTTTTTCTTTCTTCTTCTCTCTTTCTCTTCCTCCTTCTCTACATCCTCCTTTTCCTCTTTCTTATGCATTTCTTTCCTCTCTCCCCCCTCATCTTTCTTCTTCTTCTTCTCCCATCGCTCATTCTTCCCCTCAACCTACTCTACCTTCTCCATCCCCTTCTTCACCATCCCTACCTCTTCTTCTTAGAAAGGGTGAGTTTACACTGAATAACCCAATGTTGGAGGCAATGGGGAAAATCATAGATTATAGATGAGGTTTTGCATTCCCCACCAAAGTATCTTGGATTGGAGAGGGTTATAAGGAGGCGGCTCCCAAATGACTCAGTTGGATAATCCTAAAGTGTGTGCTTCCAACATTTCTGATATTTCCTCTTAGACATAAGCTACAGTTGGCCACATGGTACTGGCTTCCTGTGCCCCATTCCTGTATCACATCTACACTCCAAACCAGTGAGACCTGCATTTACCAAATCAACTAAATGCACTTGAATCATTTATTTAGATTAATTTCTTGGAGAAACCAAACTGTGACATTCCTTTTCCTCCTCAGTCTCAATATCCTCATCTGTACAATGGGGATATTTATAATTGTCTTGAAAATTTCTGCAGAAATTAAAGATATGCAGATAAAGCACTAAGTGCATACCCCGCAAATAGTAAGTCACCCAGAACATGTTATAATAGTTTCTCATTTTAATCACCCAAACACCCACCAAAGACCAGCAGTCAGTCAGTTTGGCAATCTCTTCTGAGCATCCCAGACACACAGTCTCAAAAGCGAGCACGAGTCCTGGATACCAGCTTAGTGAGCTCATCAGAGGTACCACTACTGCTCCCAAGGAGGTGATCTGGGTTCCAAACGCTTTTAATTTTCTCAGAACCAGTCTCGAGCCTTAGCTCATTGAATGTTCAGGCAGCACTGTTAGTGCAGGATCAAAGAGCAGCCTCTGTCCAGCATGACTATTAGGAGTTCTCAGGCTCCTCGAATTTTCTTTCTCACATTATGTCACTTCCCCTGGAACACAGGTTTTTATTTCTCTCAAGTGCTACCGACTTCACTCACAATCCACAGGAGATGGTTCTGTTTCATTAGAAGGTTCAAGAATTATGAATTCCTCAAAGTCCTACCTGCCCATTGCTTATTTCTCAGGTATCAACTAACTTCTCTTGGTAATATTCTGATCAGAATGACAAATTGCCTTAAAGTTGGGGAATGTAAAATGTTCTGCAGGAAATGACTTAATTCCCTTTTATTCTAGTCTATAGGTAACTCAGGGGATGAAGGACAGCCAACATTTTGACTTATGTGAAAGCAAAGAACAAGTCTCTTAGATGAGCCTCTCCCTCATGAGGACACACTGGATACTCCCGAACATTGGATCCCCATGAAAGCGTGACAGGCTGGACGGCACCTGAGACTGGAAAGGATCCTGCACGCAGGGGAGCTGTAAACTACAGGCCTTGCTGCCCTCGATGTAGTGGAGGTGTGGACACTGATTTGGGGAAAACTTTGAAAATAGGTGTTATATGCCTGTACATACAGGAGAATATCATCTCCACTGTCAGAGACACTCAAATTAGCATCTGGCTGGTGCTCACGCCAGGCCTTTTTCTGACTTGTCTTAAGATAAGCACCATTGAGCAGTAAAGCAAAAGACACAGTCTTGGGTCTGAGGCTGTCCAGGTCAGCTGTCTAACATGACCCTGTGAAACGTTCTCATATGAAGAATGGAGATAATTGTTTTGGGGGACTACATGAAGCTCAGAATGGTTTATGCATATGATGTGCAATGTGTATGTAAATGCTTATATCAGTATTTATAATAAAACCAAACACAATGTGGAATGAACAGAATTTATTAAGAAATACAGGTACAACTCCCATATCTAGGGAGCCAACTCAGAGTGAGCATGAAAGAAGAAAGCAGGATTACAGGAACCAGGAGAGCAGAGGAAAAGAAAGCAGGATTGAAAGATTTTCAGCAGTTGCAGAAAACCCGTGTAACCGTTACAAAATGTGTTTTTCTAAGTCACACAGAGGGAGAGGGTGAAGACCTTGGCTACAGAGTCAAAGCAGAGACCAGAGCTCCGTATCGAGGATGCAGGAAGCTGACCCATATTGCACCCGCATGGGAAGAAGCTGATTGGGAACGTCCTCTGCTCTCCATCCAGCTGATTCAGAAGCTTGTATCAGGCACATGAGTCACAGAAATCAAGGGAGAGCATGCGGGTGGCCAGCCAAGCCTAGGAAGTGAATTTGTTTCCCAAATATTGAATCAGTTAACAGATGGTGTATGAAGATGATAGTTCTGTGTCGAGGTGTTCAACAGCAGGAAGGTTAACAACAGCTAGACCCACAGCAGGGGCGGCAGCAAGGCTGGCAGCAGCTAGACACACAACATGGGCGGCAGCAGCAGCTAGACCCACAGCAGGGGCGGCAGCAAGGCTGGCAGCAGCTGGACACACAGCATGGGCGGCAGCAGCAGCTAGACCCACAGCAGGGGCGGCAGCAAGGCTGGCAGCAGCTGGACCCACAGCATGGGCGGCAGCATGGCTGGCAGCAGCTGGACACACAGCATGGGCGGCAGCAGCAGCTGGGCCGGCAACAGCTGGATCCACAGCAGCTGGACTGGCAGCAAGGGGAGCAGCACATGGTGTCAGGTATAGAAGGTGAGTTTGTGTTCAGAGGTGAGTTTCTCAGATTCTGAGGACTTCTTCCGTTCTAGGGTTTTTATACACTGGGCCCCCAATGTTGGGACCAATCAGTAAGACTTTCCTTATTTTTGTTTATGTTCTTTTGTTAATCACAGGGAAATTGCCTAAGATGAATTTGTTTGCTATCTGATATGAATGTTAAAAAAGTAAGTGTTTAATGTGTTCCTTAATTGAGAATAAGTCATAGAAATGTTTTCAGATAACAGGAAGGTGGTCCCATCATCAGGATGGTTCCTGCTTTGGTCATATTGTGGTCATATGATAGAGTCTCTCATGGCCTCATGAGGGTCAGTACATGTGTTTTGTGTATTCAACTGTACTTAGTTTTGGAAGTATCCCTGTTTAAAAGACATGATGCTGGTATGTTCACGGTTTAAATTGACATCATGCCTGAGTCAATGTCTGTTTGCCCACCAAAGCCTGATTCAGGACTGTGACAGGAATCTCTCTGGAGCAACCACCCCACCTGTGTATCCAGGTTGGGTTACAGACACTTGGGTAGAGGATGTTTGGCATAATCTCCTCCATATGCACAGCAGAACCAAAGCAGGTGGGAGGAAACAGAAGCTGGGGCTGAGAAAGCATCAGTCATTTCACTTCCTGAGTGACCAATAGTCCTGATTGCCGGGGACTAACTTGTTTCTCAGGATAGGGGCTCCCCAGAGGTGTGACTGGGCAATTAGGGCAAAGCAGAATGAATTAAACCTTGTTAACCATCGCATGCATTGACCTCCCCTTAGTTACTACATACAATTACTGTGTTTTCTTTTTCTTTCTCATTTTCTTAGATCCCTTTTTCCTTCCTCTTTTTTCTTTGTTCTCTCTCCATTTTCCTCCTTCTCTACCTCCTAAGTCCTTCCTGTTCTCCTTGGCTTCCTTTGTCTCCTCTATTATCTTCTTCTCCATCTTTCCCTCACATGTTTCTACCCCTCATCTTTTCCACCTTCTATATCTCCTTCACCAGCACTACTTCTTCTTACTCTGTCCTCTTCTTCTTAGAAAGTGTGAGTTTAGCTGAAACTGGTTTGGCTCAGTGGGTAGAGCGTCGGCCTGTGGACTGAAAGGTCCCGGGTTCCATTCCGGTCAAGGGCATGTACCTTGGTTGCAGGCACATCCCTAGTAGGGGGTGTGCAAGAGGCAGCTTATTGATGACTCTCTCTCAGCAATGTTTCTAATTCTCTATCCCTCTCTCTTCCTCTCTGTAAAAAATCAATAAAATATATTTAAAAAAAAAAGAAAGTGTGAGTTTACACTGAATAAGCCAAATTGGATGCAATGGGGAAAATCATAGTTTATAGATGAGGTTTTGCATTCCCCACCCACCTATCTTGGATCTTAGTGTATTCAGGCCAATTTCTGCCAGTAGACCTGCATCTCTGAGCCTCGGGGCTATTTGCTTGAAACCACAGAAGTCATGCTGCCAGTGTGTGTCACAACCACTGCTTCTGGAGAGGGTTATATGGAGGCGGCTCCTGAATGACTCAGTTGGATAATCCTAAAGTGTGTGCTTGCATCGTTTCTGATATTTCCTCTTAGACATAAGATACAGTTGGCCACATGGTACTGGCTTCATTATGCCCCATTCCTGTATCAAGTCCATACTCCACCAGTGAGGCCTACACTTACCAAATCAACTACATGTACTTGAATCATTTATTTAGATTAATTTATTGGAGAAACCAAATTGTGACATTTCTTTTCCTCCTCTGTCTCATTATCCTCATCTGTATAATGGGAACTTTTATACCTGCCTTGAACTTTTCTGCAGCAATTAAAGATATGTAGAAAAAGCACTGAGTGCATACCTAGCCATCAGTTAGTCACCCAGAACATGTTAGTTTCTCATTTTAATCACCCAAACACCCACCAAGGACCAGCGGTCAGTCGGTTTGGTCTTAGCAGTTTTTGCTGAGCATCCCAGACACACAATCTCAAAAGCGAGCACGAGTCCTGGACACCAGCTTGGTGAGCTCATCAGAGGCACCACTACGGCTCCCAAGGAGGTGATCCAGGTTCCAAACTCTTCTAAATCTCTCAGAACCAGTCTCAAGCCTTAGTTCATTGAATGTTCAGGCAGCATTGTTAGTGCAGGACCAAAGAGCAGCCTCTGTCCAGCATGACTACCAGGCTCCTGGACTTTTCTTTTTTTTCAAATTATATCACTTCCCTGGACGAAAGCTTTTATGTCTCACAAATGTTTCAGAGTTGACTCACAATTCACTGGAGATGGCTCTATTTCTGTAGGAGGGTCAGGTTTTATGGATTCCTCAAAGTCATAATTGCCCATTGCTTATGTCTCAGTTCCTGACTTTTTTTTCTCAATGAATTCTCTTAGTAATATTCTTTTAAAAAAAATATATATATATTATTGATTTTTACAGAGAGGAAGGGAGAGAGATGGAGAGTTAGAAACATTGATGAGAGTAAAACATCGATCAGCTGCCTCTTTCACACCTCATACTGGGGATGGGCCTGCAAACTAAGTACATGCCCTTGGCCAGAATCAAACCTGGGACCTTTCAGTCCACAGGCTGATGTTCTATCCACTGAGCCAAAGGAGTTAGATCTAATATTCTGATCAGAATGGCAAATTGCCTTAAAGTTGGGGAATGTAAAATGTTCTGCAGGAAATGACTTAATTCCCTTTTATTCTAGTCTATAGGTAACTCAGAGGAAGGAGGACAGCCAACATTTTGATTTACTATGTGAAAGCAAAGAACAAGTCTCTTAGATGAGCCTCTCCCTCATGAGGACACACTGGATACTCCCGAACATTGGATGCCCATGAAAGCGTGACAGGCTGGACGGCACCTGAGACAGGAAAGGATCCTGCACGCAGGGGAGCTGTAAACTACAGGCCTTGCTGCCCTCGATATAGTGGAGGTGTGGACACTGATTTGGGGAGAACTTTGAAAATAGGTGTTATATGCCTGTACATACAGGAGAATATCATCTCCACTGTCAGAGACACTCAAATTAGCATCTTGCTGGTGCTCAGGCCAGGCATTTTTCTGACTTGTCTTAAGATAAGCACCATTGAGCAGTAAAGCAAAAGATACAGTTTTTGGTCTGAGGCTGTCCAGGTCAGCTGTCTAACATGACCCTGTGAAACGTTCTCATATGAAGAATGGAGATAATTGTTTTGGGGGACTATATGAAGTTCAGAATGGTTAATGCATATGATGTGCAACATGTGTGTAAATCCTCACATAAAGATTTATAATAAAACCAAACACAATGTGGAATGAACAGAATTTATTAAGAAATAGAGGTACAATTCCCATATTTAAGGAGCCAACTCAGAGTGAGCATGAAAGAAGAAAACAGGATTACAGGAACCAGGAGAGCAGAAGAAAAGAAAACAGGATTGAGATTTTCAGCAATTGCAGAAAACCCGTGTAACTGTTACAAAATGTGTTTTTCTAAGTCACACAAAGGGAGAGGGTGAAGACCTTGAGTACAGAGCCATAGCAGAGACCAGAGCTCCGTATCGAGGATGCAGGAAGCTGACCCATATTGCACCCACACGGGAGGAAGCTGATTGGGGACGTCCTCTGCTCTCCATCCAGCTGATTCAGAAGCTTGTATCAGGCACATGAGTCACAGAAATCAAGGGAGAGCATGCGGGTGGCCAGCCAAGCCTAGGAAGTGAATTTGTTTCCCAAATATTGAATCAGTTAACAGATGGTGTATGAAGATGGTAGTTCTGTGTTGAGGTGTTCAACAGCAGGAAGGTTAACAACAGCTAGACCCACAGCAGGGGCGGCAGCAAGGCTGGCAGCATGGCTGGCAGCAGCTGGACACACAGCAGGGGCGGTAGCAGCAGCTGGGCCGGCAACAGGTGGTTCTACAGCAAGTGGACTGACACCAGGTTGGGCAGCAGCAAGGCTGGCAGCAGCTGGACCCACAGCATGGGCGGCAGCAGCAGCTAGACCCACAGCATGGGCGGCAGCAGCTGGACACACAGCATGGGCGGCAGCAAGGCTGGCAGCAGCTGGACACACAGCAGGGGCGGCAGCAACAGCTGGGCCGGCAACAGCTGGATCCACAGCAGCTGGACTGGCAGCAAGGGGAGCAGCACATGGTGTCAAGTGTAGAAGGTGAGTTTGTGTTCAGAGGTGAGTTTCTCAGATTCTGAGGACTTCTTCCGTTCTAGGGTTTTTATACACTGGGCCCACAATGTTGGGACCAATCAGTAAGACTTCCCTTATTTTTGTTTGTCATTTGTTAACCACAGAGAAATTGTCAAGGAGGAAGCTGTTCCCTATGTGATATGAATATTTAGAAAATAGGTATTTAATGTATTTCCTAATTGAGAATAACTCACAGATAAAAGGATAAAAGGAAGGTGGTCCCATCATCAGGATGGTTCTTTCTTTGGTCATATTGTGGTCATATGATAGCAACCCTCATGGCTTCATGCGGGTCAGTACATGAGTATTGGGTATTTGGCTGTACTTACATCTGGAAGTATCCCTGTGTAAGGGACATGATGCTAATATGTTCATGGTATAAATTGACATTATGCCTGAGTCCAAGTGTTTGCCCACCAAAGCTTCATTTAAGACTGTGTCATGAATCTTTCTGGAGCAACCACCCCACCTGTGCATCCAGGTTGGGTCACAGATGCTTGTGTAGAGGATGTTTGGCATAATCTCCTCCATATGCACAGCAGAACCAAAGCAGGTGGGTTGAAACAGAAGCTGGGGCTGAGAGAGCATCAATCGTTTCACTTCCTTGGTGACTAATGGTCCTGATTGCCCTGGACTAACAGGTTTCCCAGGATGCGAGACTCCCCAGAGGTGTGACTGGGCATTCTGGGCAAACCAGGATGTGTTGGTTACTCCAGTCCTAATCTTGTCACAATTACCGTGTTTTCTTTTTTTCTCGTTTTCTTATAATAATCTTTCTCTCTCCTTGCCTCTCAGTTTATGAAGGAATTAGATTAGTTGAGATGTTACCTGATTTATCTTTGATGTCTAATATGTTTAAACTTTTTTTAGGTATACTATTCATTTTAAAAGTATGCAAATGATTAATTTCCAATTTGACTGATTATTACAAAATGACCAGACCCATGGTAATACTATCAGGTCAAGAAATATAAATGAACCTTACTCACTCCAAATCATACCCCCTTATGCATCTCTAATGCTTGCTAATCACTCTCTTGACTTGTCACACTATAGCTTGATTTCACTGGTTTAGATCTTTATATAAATAAAATATTATAGGACTGGCTCTTCTTTACATGATGATTGTGACATTCAATAATGTAAATATTTGTAGTTCATTTATTATTGTTGGTGTATAATCTTCCACTGGATGAATGTGACATAATTTATTTGTTGACTCTCCACTTGAGAAATATGTAGTTTTTTTGCAGTTTGGGACTCTTAAAAATAGTGCCTCTATGAATTATTTTTGTTTGTTTAGGTCTTTTGGCAAACATATATAAATGTCTCTTTGAATATATTATATATACACCTCGCAGCAGATTTCTCATAGACTTGCTTGGTCAAACTATTCTGTCCTCTGTAGGAGTCTTGGCTATCTTTCATTAGATTTTTCCTAGATATTTTATTTTTATGATCTTATTTATGGTATAATATAAAATTTTATTTGTAACTGCTTCTGACATACAGAAAAACATTTATTTGTATATGAATTTATCTTGGAACCAAATTCCCTCGTTATTTTTAATAGTTTACTAATAAATTTTTTTGTTGGAAATTTTGCATATACTGCCATATCCACAGAAAATGGTGGTTTTATTCATTAGCAGCCTTTTTATCTTGTAAATTGTTTCCTTCTTCATTCCATGGCTAGACCCTCCCTTTAATATTGAATGAAATGGTGAAGTGGATTCCTTTGTGTATTGTCTGTAGAATAGGACAGCTCTCCATATTTCATAATTAAATAGTAAGCTTTCTGTCTTTTCTGTAGATTCTTTCCATCAGGGGAGCAAGTGTGTTTTTTTAAATTATTATTCCTATTTGCTAAGGCATTCTATATTTGAAATGTGTATTTAAACTTATAAGATGCTCTTTCTTTATCTATTGAGATAATCATATGATTAGTCTCCCCTTTTTTCAGTAAATATGGTTTTTAAAAATTGATTCATGTTTAAATGTTAAACCAACCTTGTATTCCTGTCAACAATTCAATGTGGTTATGATCATATGTATACGGCACTGAATTTTATCTGCTTATATTGTGTTTAGGACATATGCTCTGATTGCATCCCAAACTTTTATCCTTCGGTTCTTATACCATTTCCTCCACCTCCCTCAAACAAGTCAATCCTTAATATGGCAATATCCTCCCCACTTCCTGTGACTGAATTTGCATCTGATGTGACTCCCTGTATTGGGTTTCCAAAGCACTTTTATGACCCACAGGATTAACCCGCAGCACTATTGGGGAGTAGGGCGGGGGTGAGGGGAAAGTGTTATCTTTTAAACAGTTCACAGGAATATCCCATGGGTTACTTTCAGGCACACAAGCCATGATGGAATTTCAAAGTAGCTATGGTGGCAGGAATAGGGGCAGGTGTGGACCAATAGCACGGCTCCATCTCACCTCTGCTACCTCTGCTATATAGGCTGTCATCATAAGCAGAGAATGGTATTGAGCCCTATGGACAAATATCAGCCATGAAGCTAACCACCCCACCTGAAGGCTAGTTTTCTATATCAGACCACTTCCACAGTGAAAAGACTATAGCAGTTCTTTCTTATTCTTTTTTTTTTTTTTTTTTTTTTTAATATATTTTATTGATTTTGTACAGAGAGGAAGGGAGAGATAGAGAGTTAGAAACATCGATGAGAGAGAGTCATCGATCAGCTGCTTCTTGCACACCCCCTACCGGGGATATGCCCGCAACCAAGGTACATGCCCTTGACCGGAATCGAACCCGGGACCTTTCAGTCCCCAAGCCGACGCTCTATCCATTGAGCCAAACCGGTCCCGGCTCTTTCTTATTCTAATGGCATGTGTGGTGCATAGAATTGCCTTTCCTGCCTTCAGTGCTGCCCCTGCAGTGCAGTACTATATACTGAAAGCTTATATACAGCTTACAGTATATAAGTCATAGGATAGCATCACTTTGGACCAAGGGATCCACTCTTATGATGAACAAGGTCAACAATAGGCCATGGGATCTACTTGTCCTACTATACATCACATGACAGAAAAATTGCAGGCTTGACGAGAAATTAAAATGGTCTTTTAGATGTGCAGCAAAGCCACCATCTTAGAGGTGACATCCTGCTATATTGTGTTTTGGATATGGAATGTACCTCAATCCAATGCCATTATATGGTTTGATATATATGTAGGACCACATACATCCATTAAAAAGTAGAATATGTAGGTTCAGAAAATGATGGGTGGGAGTGAACCTTCTCAAATTAACTCCTAGTGAGACGCTTGGGAATCTGTGCTTCTTGTCTCACAGTGCCATTAGGCTCTCCTGGGTTGAAGGTCTTACTTCTCTGAAAGACACCTTTTTGTGTCAGGAGACACAACTATCATCTGGCCATTGTGGATTCTAGAGAGCAGTTACTATTTGGGGAGGGATCATTATCTTGAAGGTAAGAGAGCACAGAGAAATACATCTGGAACACAGGATTTCACTGGAGTGACTCGTGGTGGGTTCGGGCTCAGTGGCATTCATAAATAAGCAAGGACAGCAACCACAGCAGGCCAAACAGATGTAACGGGGGCTCAGACCTACATCTTTGAGATGTAGATGTAAGTGCCTGTGAGCAGGAACAGGAGGCCCAGTCCTGGATCTGAGTCTGTTCATCATTAGCTTGGGGCATTGCAAAAATGAACTGTTTGTGTGTTGTTTTCCTGAATCTTGGAGATGATAATGGTGGGAGGTGCTATTCTGATGCTCAGAATGGATAATGTATGTAGTATGCAAGGTGTATTTAAATCCTTATGTGAGGAATTCTGTACAATAAATCTCACACAATATGAATTAGTTATGATATATAATTTATTAAGAAACACATAGGTAAGATTCCTGATTCTATAAAGACAACTCAAAATGATACAAAAACCATGAGTACAATGAAAAAGAATATGTGATTTTGAAGATTATTGGTTAATTACAGAAACCTATGAAAAAAGTTATGAGAATTTGATTTCCTAAGTTACTTAGAGGAACTAGGTAATCCTACTTCAAAATCAAGGTCATTTTCACATCGAGGATGCGCAAAACTGGTACATGATCCACATGCACAGGAGGAAGGTCCAAGACCTGTGACCTCCACCAAGCTGACTCAAACTTGTAACCAAGCAGATGAGTCACAGAAATTATGGTCCCGCATGCTGGTGTCAGCAAATTAAGGAAGACAATTTGTCTCCATAATGGCAAGTCAGTTCCCAGATGTTATGGGTGCAGATGGTGGCTGTCTGGCAAGGTGCTCAGCAGCAGCAAGGTTGGCAGCAGCTGGATCCACAGCCATACCTTATGCAGCCTGGCACGCAGCAGCAGGTGGGGTGGTAGCAGGTTCTGCAGACATGCACGGGGCAGCAGCAAACCTGCTGGCAGCAGGGAGAGCAGCAGCAGGACCCACCACAGCTGGACCCACAGCAGCAGGGCTGGCAGCAGCTGGACACACAGCAAGGGCGGCAGCAAGGCTGGCAGCAGCTGCTCACACAGCAAGGACGGCAGCAAGGCTGGCAGCAGCTGCTCACACAGCAAGGACGGCAGCAAGGCTGGCAGCAAGGGGAGCAGCACATGGTGGCAGGTGAGGAGGGTGGGTTTGTGTTCAGAGGTGAGTTTCTCAGATTCTGATGGTGACTTTTCTTTGGGGGCTTTTATACTCTGGAACCCCCCAATGTTGGGACCAATAAGCAGGTCTTTCCTCATTGTTGTTTCTGTGTTTATAGTCACATGGAAGTTGTCAAAGAGGAAGTTATTCCCCTTGCATTTGAGGGTTCTGTCAATTACCATTTTATCTTCTCCTTAATTGGGAATACTGCTTAAGAATCTTTTCCAGAAATGGGACAATCAGGAATCATCCCCAGCAACATTTCTGGTCATGTGACATCATCTGGTCATATATTACTTCCTGCTGGTTTGTCTTCTAAATGTGATGCAACTGTGCACTGCCCACGTCATAGCTACCAGTCATTCTGCTGTTCCATTGATTTGCATGTTAGCCTTTTATTATATAGGATAGCTTATTGATAGATTTTTTGAACATTTTACATACACAGTTATATCATTCACACAGGATAGGATTGAAGAAGTGGTCTCTTCTCAGTGTTGTTCCTTTGGTCATATTTAGATTGATGTGCTGTTGTCATAAGCAAGAATGGTTTTGAAACTTTATCTATAATATCCATCTTGAAAGTAAATCACTCACACAGAGCCATTGTTCTACTTGTACCACTTCCATCTTGAAAGTAAATATGAAAGTAAACTTCCATATCCATCTTGAAAGTAAATCACCCACACAGAGCCATTGTTCTACTTGTACCACTTCCACATTGAAAACACAGCGATTCTTCCTTTCTATGGTTGCGAGTTTGGTGTGTGGAATTATCTTCTTTGTCTGCAGGGCTATCCACAAAGATAGTCTATTGTCATAGGATGCTGGGTAACAACATTTTGGACCAAGGGGCCCACTTTATGATGAACAAGGTCTTCAATAGGCATATAAGCATAGATCTATCATACTTGTCCTATGGATCTACTTGTCCTGCCATACATCACATGGGAGATAAATTGCTGGACTGACAAAAAATGAGCCTGGTGTTTTAGATGTGCAGCAAAGATACCACCATAGAGATGACAACCTAGGGGATAGATATATTGTCTTCTAAATGTGGTGCAACTGTGCACTGCCCACTTCTGGAAGCCCTCAGGAGATGTCCAACTGACTGCTTAGACCTGTTCCATGCTGCCATGGAGGCGGGAGCAGCTCCCACCACCTCTGCATTCACCAGCCGTGAGTCCCACTTTTGGCTGAGTAGTGTGGGAGCACACTGACTACAATGGACAGCTCCTGCATTGAGTGTCTGCCCCCTGGTGGCCAATGCACGTCATAGCTACCAGTCATTCTGCTGTTCCATTGATTTGCATGTTGGTCTTTTATTATAGAGGATAGCTTATTGATAGATTTTTTTGAACATTTTACATGCACAGTTATATCATTCACACAGGATAGGATTTCCCTTCTAAAGCTGAATGTAAAGATACAGACAGGAGTAGAACCAATTCATGCAGACACTTTAAATAGGAGGAATTATATCGAGACAAGTAGATTATTCACTACCCAGGTTGAGAACATATACAAATGAATGTGGTTTCTCAAATGGGCATGTGGCAGTGAACCCTGGAAGTTCAGAGTCAGGAGAGGCACATGGGCAGAGGTGGGCAGTGCACAGCTGCACCACACAGAGGAGAGGGACATTGCACCTGAGCCTTCCAGTTCCTGAGGCTAGAGCATGTGTTTGACATGAATGTAGGCGATGCCACTAAACATTTTGTTCTTCTAAATTATTTCCTCTGATTCTTTGCTCAGAAACTAATCCTCCTATTATAATATAATTTGACTACTCTGGTAAGCATTTGTGTGGTGAGAAACAACTGGCTAAATAAAGTATAAAAACTACAGTTATTACATTTATAATTATGGCTAATAATTGACGTATTAGTTTATGAGGATCAATAAAGTTGTTGGGCCTCAGGTGGTGACTCATCCTTGTATGTGATTGAGATCAGATATCCGAGACCGCAAGATTCCAATCCAGCCCCTCATAGATTTGTCACAATTCTGAAAATCGACTTGAAAGAGTTTTGGAAGAGAGCTTCTTGTTCTCCCAGATGAATGCATAAAAATGTCATGGCACCCTGTGACATGTATTTATTTCAGTGTGATGCTTTTGAATGCTTGTGGACTTCTGAGAATGACAGCAATGTCAGAAAGCAATCAGTGACAGTGATTGGACAAGAGAGAGAATTTAGGGACTTTAGACAGACTCGGTAATGGAAAGGACCCCTATTGAATTCGCTCACAGAGAGTGCAAATCAAAGATACAATATCCCAGTATCTACCAACTGGTTATTTAGTTGATGCTTGATACCTGCAGTGACGTGAGTTCCTACCCACAGTGTCGCCCATAACAGAGCTTCCTTATCTGAGCGTCCACCCTCCTGGGCCTCCTGCATCTCTTGTTCATTGGGATCCTTGTGACCAGACAGTCAGATAGCATTGCAGAGTAGCTGCTTCTCTCATTAGACACCTTGTCCCCTGATAGGCCTGCTGCAGCATCGCATTCCCTTCACTCTATTTCTGCCCTGTGTTTCCCCACCTCATGGGATGCACTTCTGATGAAGGACAGCATATCCTATTGATTACATGAATTTTATGAAACTCGATTTTTCTCAAGGACCATGAAATTGACATTGCCAATTAGATGCTTATTGTGAAGAAATTGTTAAGAGTAGTGTCTCTTAATATTCTAGTTGTTCTTAGATTCTGGTTGGGTGGAATATAATAAGATCCTGAAATGTATGGACATTTATTTCTGTTCTTACTACTTGCGTCTGTGCTGATTTTGTGAGATGCTTCTAGTTTCAATTATCCATTTTCTATAGATTGTACATCTGTTTATCTCTGATTTTATCTTAAACCATGAGTTCTCTATTGTGGAAGAAAGTACAATTAATTTTGGTTATGAGGTTTAAATCAAATGGAAGAGTTTCAGATTCCTGCTCTGCCACTCACTAGCTTTACCATTAGGGGAAATATAATGTATTATTTATACCAACTCATGAATTGTTTCCTATATGTACTGTATGATCATCCTTTACAAATGTATATTTTTTATTTTTCAGCTACCATCTTACATATTATGACCACCCGTGGAATAATTTGGAAGTGTTTCTTCCTCTATTTTACTTTATTTTAATGGGGCAGCCAGTCTGCTGGCAGATACTTCCTTGGAGATATCATTGTTCTTATATTTTCCACAGACATGACAAAAACAAATCCATCACCCTTACTTTTTGTAGAGAATAGTAAATTTTCCTTTTCTTTTCCCTTAATAATCTAAGATTTATTTCTGTCTTGCTTATCTCTCTATCTCTGACTTAGTACAACTGACCTCAATGTTACAAATTATGAACATCCCAAACCAGGAATAATGGTAAGGCTTCTCCCAAATCAGGGAGAAGATCATGGTGTAGCAATGATGTCCATGGCTAATGAACACAGGATGATACTTTTTTTTTTTTTAAACACAATTTCATTTTATTCCCCCCAAACATAAAATTATTATAATATATGGACATAGAATACCTTAAAAATTCATTAATTGGTAACCCAAATAGTAGAATTTATGCCCAATGGAGTTCTTATGGCAAGAAATGAAGTTTCAAAGACAGTCCGCAGAGGAAATATTTCCAGTTAAAACAACTGTGAGGAGTACCTTGAGCATTATTTATATGTGTATGTAATTGTGGATTTAAAAAGTGGCTCGAGGGAACTATGTTAATTGACTATTTGCCAGTGGTGAAAGCCTTGACTGACTGCTCATAGTCCTGGAAGGACCAAAGTTGGGCTGACTATAGGCATTTGGAAAAGAATCATGTAGACGGGGATGGTACGTGGGCCCAACCCCCAGAGAGTATCTACCATTAATGGGACACTGGACAACTATGAGTTTGATACAACTCAGCCTATGGCCTTCTCAGGTACACCAACTCTTGCACAGGGAGCATGAGCAAAGTAGCCATGGAGGAAGGGATGGAGGCTTTGTGTGGACCAACAGCAAGGACTTCCTCTCCTCATAACTCCTCTGCTCTATGTGCTCTTGTCACAAGCAGAGAATGGTGTTGAAACCTTATCTGTAATATCCACCTTGAACGTAATCACCCACACAGAGCTAATGTTCTACTTGTACCACTTCCACATTGAAAACAGTGATTCTTTCTTTTGATGGTTGTGAGTTTGGTGTGTGGAATTTTCTTCTTTGTCTGCAGTGCTACCCATGAACTTACAGTCTATTGTTGTAGGATGCTGGATAGCAGTAATTTGGAACAATGGACCCACTTTATGATGAACAAAATCAATAGTAGGCATATAATCATGGATCTACTTGCCCTATGGATCTACTGACAGAGAAATCGCTGGACTGATAAAGAATGAGCATGGTTTAGATGTGCAGCAAGGATACCACCATAGAGATGACAACTTGGGGGATTGATATATTGTCTTCTAAATGTGGCATATATTTTGTCCAGTGACATATATGTAGTACTATATGTATTTATGAAAGTTAGTATCCATGAATTTAGAAATAATGGGTGAAATTAAAGGTGACCCTCTCCTGTGAATACCCTGTAACATGCTTGGGAATTGGGGCTTCCTATCCCATCATGCCTCTAGTTTCTTCTCGATTGGTGGTTTTATGCCTAAGAAAGCATTTTTTTTGTGTGTCAAGTAATATCATGTAACTTTATAACTATCATCTGGTGAGTTTGGAATTTTCATATGAGTAGAGTAGCAAGCAGTTACTATTTGGTGAGTGATCATTACCATACAGATGTACCAGTAGAGAGTAGGGAAAAGTACATCAGGAATCTGGGAATGTACTGGAGTGTCTCATGGTGTGTGTAGGCTTACTGACAACCTTATCTGAGCAATGACAACACCACAGCTTGCCAAGGGTGCAGTAACCAGAGGCTCTGACCTCTATATCTTTGACATATAAATGCCAATGTCTTAAGCAGGAACAGAAGACCCAGTTTTGGAACTGAGTCTGATCATTATTATTAGCTTGTGATATTATGCAATGAGTTTGTTTTTTCTGAAATTGTAGATAATAATTGTGGGAGCTGTTGTGCTCAAAATGAATGATGCATAAAGTATGCAGTAAGTATTCAAATCAGGAATGCTGTACAATAAATACACACAATATGGATAGCTTATGGTATAGACTTTATTAAGAAACACATGGAGAAGAGTCCCACATCTAGTAAGACAATTCAATGTGATCCTGAAGAAAGAAAGTCTTATACAAGAATCATGATTACATTGTAAGGAATTGCAATGATGAGGGTTATTCAGTTACAGAAACCTGTAAATAAGATATGAAGATTTGTTTGACTAAGTTGTTTAGAGGGAGCCATTGGTCCTGACTTCAGAATCAAAGCCAAGATCATGACTGCATATTGAGGATGCACAAAGCTGGGGCAAGATCCACATACCTTGGAGCAAGAGAACTGAGGGAGGTCCTCTGCACTCCATCCAGCTGACTCTTTAAACAGGCAGATGAGTCACAGAAATTATGGTCCCACATGCTGGTTGTCAACAAAGTCCAGAAGGTCCATTTTGTTTCCATAATGGCAAGTCAGTTCTCAGATGTTATGTGTGCAGATGGTGGCTGTCTGGCAAGGTTCTCAGCAACAGCAAGGTTGGCAGCAGCTGGATCCACAGCCATACCTTATGCAGCCGGGCACGCAGCAGCAGGTGGGGTGGTAGCAGGTTCTGCAGACATGCACGGGGCAGCAGCAAACCTGCTGGCAGCAGGGAGAGCAGCAGCAGGACCCGCCACAGCTGGACCCACAGCAGCAGGGCTGGCAGCAGCTGCTCACACAGCAAGGGCGGCAGCAAGGCTGGCAGCAGGGAGTGCTACAGCAGCAAGGCTGGCTGCAGCAGGACCCACAGCAGCTGGACCCACAGCAGGCGGGCCTCCAGCAGGTGGTTCTGCAGGTGGTCCTGTAGCAGCAAGGCAGGCAGCAAGGGGAGCAGCACATGGTGGCAGGTGTGGAGGGTGGGTTTGTGTTCAGAGGTGAGTTTCTCAGATTCTGATGGTGTCTTCTCTTTGGGGGCTTTTATACTCTGGACCCCCAATGTTGGGACCAATAAGCAAGACTTTCCTCTTTGTTGTTTTGGTAATTACTCTGGAATTGTCGAGGAGGAAGTTGTTCCCCGAGTGTTTTGAGGCTTATGTAAGTAACTGTTTGATCTTTTCCTTAATTGTGAATCCTAATTTACAGCCCTTTCCAGAAATGAAACAGGAATCATCCTCAGGAACATCTCTAGTCATGTGACATCATGTGATCTGTGGTCTTTCCTGCTGGCTTGGTGAAGGTCAGAACTGTTGTCTCTTCTCATCCTTACAGCGTTGGCCTTGTTAATAGGGGGAAGTGTCCTGAGATGCCAGGAGCTAGTGAGTTCTCTATGAATGGAGCCCTGCTTGTGCCTAAGTCTGATCTCCCAGAATCTGGATCGAGAACTCTAGCATTATTTGCCTGTGGCCACCTACTAGAAATTGACATAAAACATTAACTTTAGGAGTGGGACCTGATGATTCATGTTTGTATATATTACGAATGATCACCACAATAAGCCTAGTTAATATTTGTCAGTTTTCCCAACACCATTTATTGAGAAGACTGTGCATTCCCCAATATATTATACTCTTGAGTCCTTTGTCATAAAGATACTGACCATATATAGGCAGATTTATTTCTAGGCTCTGTATTCTGCTCCATTGATATGTGGGCATGTTTTTATGCCAATAACTTACTATTTTGATTACTATATGTTTGAAATATAGTTTGAAACCAGGAAGAATGATGCCTATAGCTTTGCTCTTCTTTCTCAAGGTTGTTTTGGCTATTCAGATTTTTTTTTTCTAGTTCCATATAAATTTTAGGATTTTTTTTCCATTTTTGTGAAAAAAATGCCATTATCATTTTAATACTAATTGCATTGAATTTTAGATTGCTTTGAGCATTGTGGACATTAATATTAATTTTTCCATTGCACGAGCACAGATATTCTTCCATTTTTGTATCTTCTCAAATTTCTTTCATTTATGTATTTTAGTGGCAGGCACAGGTCTTTTACCCCTTTGGTTAAATTTATTTCTATATATTTTTATTTTGATGCCACCGTAAATGGAATTATTATCTGAATTTCTCTTTCTGATAATTTATTAATGTCTGGAAATTCAGCATTTTGTATATGGACTGTATAGACTGCAATTTTTAAATTTTTAAAAAAATATATTTTATTGATTTTTCTACAGAGAGGAAGGGAGAGGGATAGAGAGCTAGAAACATCGATGAGAGAGAAACGTTGACCAGCTGCCTCTTGCACACCCCCTACCGGGGATGTGCCCACAACCAACGTATATGCCTCTGATAGGAATCAAACCTGGGACCTTTCAGTCCACAGACCAACGCTCTACCACTGAGCCAAACCGGTTTTGGCTAGACTGCAATTTTTAAAATTTTATTGATTAGTTCTAACAGTTTTTTGGTGGAGTCTTTATGTTTTTCTCTCATTATATATTACATAGTCTACAAATAGAGTTAGTTTTACTTCTTCTTTACTGACTTGGATACCTTTTTTTTTCTTGCTAATTGCTTTGGCTAGGACTCGCAATAATACTATGTTGAATAAAGGTTCAATATTATGTTGAGTAAAATACTATGCTAATTAAGAGTGGGCATTCTTGTCTTGTGCCTGCTCTATCTATCTATCTATCTATCTATCTATCTATCTATCTATCTATCTATCTATCTATCTATCTATCTATCTATCTATCTAAAAGCCTAAATGACCAAACGACCAGTTAACTGGTTTCTATGATGCGCGCACTGACCACCAGGGGGTAGACTCTCAATGCAGGAGCTGTCCCCTGGTGATCAGTGTGCTCCCACAGCTAACCTCCTGCTGCTGGCCAACCTTCCATGGCCCTCCTCCTGGCCAACCTCCTGTGTCCCCAATTGGCCCCAATTGCATGCCAGGCCGATGGACCCTACCCATGCATGAATTCATGCACCTGGCCTCTAGTCTTAAATAAAAAGCTTTCCACAATTGAGTTTGAAGTTAGTTATGGACTTACCATATATGGCCTCTATTATGTTGAGGTATGTTCCCTATATGCTTTCTTTGTTGATAGTTTTATAATAAATAGGTATTGAATTTTGGCTAATGCTTTTTCTGCCTCTATTGAGACAATCATATTATTTTTATCCTTCACTTTGTTAATGTGGTGTGTCACATTGATTTGCAGATGTTTTACCACCCTTGCATCCTTGAAATCAGTTCCACTTAATCATGGTGTATGAGTCTTTCAAACTTTCATTGGTCTCTTTTTGTTAATATTTTGTTGAGGATTTTCCACCTATGCCCATTGGGGATATTGACATATAATTTTCTTTCTTCGTTGTTCTTGTCTGGTTTTAGTATCAGGGTAATGCTGGCCTTATAAATGGGATTGGAAGTTGTTCTTTCCTCTTCTGTTATTTGGAAGAGTTTGGTATTAATTCTACTTTAAATGATTGGTGGAATTCACTAGTGAAGCCATCTGCTTGTAGACTTTTGTTTGTGGAAGGTTTTACATTATGGAGTCATTTATTACTATAATTAGAGGCCTGATGCACAGAATTCATGCAAGGGGCTTGGCCCTCTCAGCCCCGGCTACCTTGGCCGGCCCTTGCAGCCCTGGCTTTGTCCAGAAGGTCATCTGGAAGGGTGTCCAGATGGTCATTTTGCTGTTTGGTCTAAGCTCTTTATTATATAGAAATGACTGCTTGGATTTTCAATTTCTTTACAAATTATTTTTGATATCAGGTTTTCTGTGATATCAGTCGTTTCTTTCATTTCTGATTTTGTTTATTTGAGTGTTATTACTATTTTTCTTAGTGGGTATAACTAAAGGTTTGTCAATTTTCCTTCTTTACAAAATACCAAGCTCTTGGTTTCATTGATTATTTTTATTGTCTTCTTAGTCTATTATTTTATTCAGCTCTTGTCTTTGTTATTTTCTTTATCTACTAACTTTGATCTTCCTTATTCTTTTCGTAGTTTTGTGGGGTATAAAATTCTCTTCCTCTTTATCCTCTTCCTTTTCTAATTATTATTCTCAATCTAGAAATTGTGGATGTTCACAATTTGAAGAAGCAGAGGAAGGTTGAGAGTATCAAGGGGAGATTGCAGATGATGTTTCTAATTGCCTCACTTTTACAGCCTGAATGTTTGTTTCCTCTCAAAATTCATATGTTGAATCCCTAGTATCCAATATAATGGCATTTGGAGGAGGTCTCTATGAGAGGTAATTAGATTTGGCTGAAGAGATGAGGGCAAGTCCCCCATGATAGGATTAGTGCTGATCCTAACAAAAAGAGACCAGAATCTTCCCCATCTCCCCGTGTGTGTGTGTGTGTGTGTGTGTGTGTGTGTGTGTGTGTGTGTGTGTCATTGGAGGATACAGAAATAAAGCAGACATTAGCAAACTAGGAAGTAGGTCCACCTGAGTGGACACTTATCCTACCAGCACCTTGATCTTGGATATCCCAACCTGCAGAACTGTGAGAAATACATGTTATTGTTTGAGCAACCCAGTAATTAGTCATTTGTTATATATAGCTCTCCAAATTGACTTGTACATATTTTAAGTCTTAGTGTGCTCAGACCAATTTCCTCCCACCAGATGTTCACTTTTATGTCTTAGGGTTCTATTCATGCTAAAGCAGAAAGTCATGATGTCAGTGCATGTCACCTAACAAAGACATTCACCCAGTAATTTTAGAGATCTTTTTATAAAGACTCTGGCCCCTTCATTTGTCAAGAAGGACAATTCCAAAGTATGTGTTTTCCATCATTTTGGAGACTTTTCCCTCAAGTTTGCACTTCCGTAGTAAACTTGATACTGGCTTTGTACACAAATCTGCCTCATCCTTTTCTCAACTTTCTGCCAATGTGATCTGTGCATCCCTATGGTCACTTGAATCTTTTCTCAGGTTATTTTTACTTTGAGAATGCAAACTATGGCTTTCATTTACCTCTGTAAAATAGCAGAATTTATGTCCAATGGAGTTTTTATGACAAAAAATAAATGACTTCTGGTTTTAAAGTCAGTGGACAGAAGAAATATTCCCAATGAAAAGAACTTTGAATAGTACATTGAGTATTACTTATATATGTATGATTTTTTTTTTCAAAAACAAACAAAAAAACCCCAACCTGATGGAATGATATAAATGGCTATTTGCAAGTGGTGAAAGGCTTGACTGATTGTCTGAATTCTGGAAGGAGCAATGTTAGCCTATACGCGTTTGGAGAAGAATCATGAAGAGGGAGATGGTCTGTGGACAGAACGTGTTTCCACATTCTGTCCCACCTCAATGCCCAACCCCCCAGAGAGTATCTATCATTTAGGAGACACTAGACAACTATGAGTTTGATACAGCTCAGCCTATGTCCCTTCTCAGGTGCACCAGCACTTGCACAGGGAGCATGAGCGAAACAGCCTTGGAGGAAGGGACAGAGGCTTTGGGTGGACCAATAGCAAGGACTTCCTCTCCCCGCGGCTCCTCTGCTCTATGTGCTGATGTCACAAGCAGAGAATGGTGTTGAATCCTTATCTGTAATATCCATCTTGAACGTAATCACCCACACAGAGCCAATGTTCTACTTGTACCACTTCCACATTGAAAAGACAGCAGTTCTTCCTTTCTATGATTGCATCTTTGGCGTGTGGAATTAGCTTCCTTGTCTGCAGTCCTATCTAGCAGATTACACTATATTGTTATAGGATGCTGGACAGCAACATTTTTGATTCAGGGACCCACTTTATTCAGAACAAGGTCAACAATAGGCTAAATAAACGTGGATCTACTAGTAGTTGTCCTACCATACATCACATGACAGAGAAATTACTGGCCTGATTAAAAAATTGTAATAGTATTCTAGGTGTGCAGCAAAGATACCACCATAGAGTGACAACCTGTAGGATTGATGTCTTGCCTTTTAAATGTGTGGTATATATTTTGACCCAATAACCATTGTTAGGTTGACATATATGTAGTAGTATATGATCTTTTTCTGAAATTGTAGATAATAATTGTGGAGGCTGTTATGATGCTCAAAATGAATGATGCATATAGTATGCAATATGTACTTAAATCAGGGATGCTGTACAATAAATCACACACAATATGGATGGCTTATGGTATAGACTTTATTAAGAAACACATAGAGAAGAATCATCTATTAACCTTCATATTTAATTAATGGTTGTCTAAGTTGTTTAGAGGGAGCCATTGGTCCTGACTTCAGAATCAAAGCCAAGATCATG